TTTGGGAATGACAGCCAAACAATATAAAAATGGCAATTGTTCATTTTTATATTGTTTGGGGGAATTGTTTTTTTATATTGTTTGGGGGAATAGAGCTTTGGGGGAATTGTTTTTTTTTTCCCTGGGCTCTCCTATAGGTTTCATATTTTCTAAAAATATAATAAGTGTCTGCTTCGTTGTCCCTGTGTTCATGGATCAAACTTAAATTTTGAGGAAGGATCAAAATTCATCTCCAGTTGTGAAAATATAGACCTTTCCTAAGAAACTCATGACACTCTTCCTAGAAAATAGCACTGGAGCTTCAAACTAGATGAAGATGGGTTTGAATTTTCAAAGGGATTTTATTTTTAACTTTTTGACCCTTTAAAACAATTTTCTTGCCCTTCTTCCATTGCTTTTCCTGTTCCTAGTGATCTTGGGGCTGCCAGGGTGCAGAAGGCCTGATAAGCTAATCTGGCATTTTGCATATGGATCATCCTCCAGGCCATCTCAAAACAACATGCAGATGATGTGACTCCAGCATTGCCACTTCCCCTCCTCCTTCCTTCCCTTGCACACTTTTCAAACACATCTTTGTCTGATGAAGAAACACATATTTCGTAAGTTTGCAGGGAATTTTTTGCCTTTTTCAACACAGCTACCAAACCAACTCAATTAATGCCCTGCAAAGCTTATGGCTTTCAACACCCTGCATTACTTAGGCGATCCCTCGTTGGACGGGTAAGATGGTCTTCCTTGATGACTATTTTTGTGAGTTTGTAGGTGGCTGTGGAGCCCTATTCTTGACCCGCATCTTCTCCCACAGTGAAGGCATTGGTTTCCAGGTGGAAGGCGGTCCCGGTCGGGGTTGGCTTGACGCGCCTTCCTCCTGGCACGTTTCTCTCTTTCACCCTCCATTCGTGCCTCCTCGAATTCTGCAGCACTGCTGGTCACAGCTGACCTCCAGCTGCAGCGCTCAAGGGCCAGGGCTTCCCAGTTCTCAGTGTCTATGCCAGAGTTTTTAAGGTTGGCTTTGAGGCCATCTTTAAATCTCTTTTCCTGTCCACCAACGTTCCGTTTTCTGTTCTTAAGTTCAGAGAACCGCCTGCATTATTTAAATAACAACTCCATTTGGATTCTGGAGAACTCAAGAGTTGCCCTCTCATTTATGGCATTTTTATTGATCCTAACAAAGCCATCTTCTTAATACGGATTTGAATTTGCTTTCTGGGCCACAAGGTTGTCTTTACATTTAAGTTATGTTTATGTTCTTTCTGCTTGGTGGATCGTGAGTTCTAGGGCCCCATCTCCATTGCCACATAATGAAGTTTGAAACTACATTATATGGTCAGTGTAAACCAGGGGTCCTCTAACTAAGGCCCGGGGGCCAGATACGGCCCTTCAAGGTTATTTACCTGGCCCTCGTTCAGGGTCAACCTAAGTCTGAAATGACTTGGAAGCACACAACAACAACAACAACAATCCTATCTCATCAGCCAAAAGCAGGCCCACACTTCCCATTGAAATATTAATAAGTTGATATTTGTTAAATTTGTTCTTCATTTTAATTATATTGTTTTAAAATGTTTTTGCACTACAAATAAGATATGTGAAGCATCCATAGGAATTAATTCTTTTTTTTCCAAATTATAATCCGGCCCTCCAACAGTTTGAGGGACTGTGACCTGGCCCTCTGTTTAAAAAGTTTGAGGACCCCTGGTGTAAACTCATATAAGGCAGTTCAATGAAGTTAAATTGCATAATAAGGCAGTTCAATGAAGTTTCAAACTGCATTATATGTTACTAGCTGTACCCGCCACACGTTGCTGTGTCCAACCTTCCCTCCCTCTTTCTCTTCTTTTTCTCCCTCCTTCCCTCTTTCCTTCCTTCCCTTTTTTCTTTCTCTCTCTTCTTCCTTCCTTCTCTTCTTCTTCCCTTCCTTCATCCCCTTTTCTTTCCCTTCCTCTTTCTCCCCTTTCTTCTCTACCTATTCTTGGACTACAACTCCCAGCAGTCCTCCTGATCAATCAATCTATCTACCTACCTATATCAAATCTATCTATCTGGAGGATTGCTGGGAGTTGCAGTCCAGGAACAGGAAATTGGAAATATGCAGGGATTGGGATGCTCTCAAAGAAATCCAAGGAGAAGAAGGCTTGCAGATTGGAAGCAGTGCATTTGGATCATCCTCCTCTCCTAAAGGGCCTGGTCTAGGGAATGCTGGGAGCTGTAGTCTGGAAGAGAGTGTGGATATGCTATTATATGTTTTGTTTGACAGGGGGAGTTGTTTTTGCGCATGTGCTGTAGCGTCCTTTTGCTTTTTTTGGCTTTTTAAGCCCCCTACGCTGTGTTTTTCGGGTTTTTATGAGTGATGGTCACTTGTTGGCCTGATAGGTGTATTGTGTCCAAATTTGGTGTCAGTTCGTCCAATGGTTTTTGAGTTATGTTAATCCCAGAAACGAACATTACATTTTTATTTATATAGATGTAGACGAGGTCTAGGCAGACATCCAAAGGAGCTCCTTCAAATCATGTGTCTGACACCCCATCTCTGGTTTTTGCTTTTCGAAAGGAGCTCCTTCAAACCATGTGTCTGACACCCCATCTCTGGTTTTTGTTTACCTGCTTAAGAAATTCTTAACATCAAAACTGTTGACAACTTCTGATTATTAATGAAGACATGTTTTAGACAGTTAACTCTAGATAACAAGCTCTTTTATCAAAGCAAATCAGGAGATGTTCAAGATGCAGAAAGGGCACCATCAAAACAGATCCTGGTATATGACAAGGTTAATGTCTCCTGCACATGGCTAGAATTATGTGGGGACACTTAACCCAGAATTTAAATACTTTGGGAAATGCATAAAAATATTGCTGTTGGTCCATAAAGGAAAAGAGAAGTAGCGATAATACACACGCTGCTGGGGGACTCCTGGCCTGTGGGGTCCCTCCAGACTCAATTCTGTCCCCTATGTTGTTTAACATTTACATGAAACCACTGGAAGAGACCGTCTGGAGTTTTGGAGTCAAATTTATGCCGATGACACCCAGCTCTATTACTCCTTTCCACCTAATGCCAAGGATGTCATCATCAGTGATGGACTGGATGAGGGCCAACAAGTTGAAATTGAATCTAGACAAGACAGGGGCATTCCTGGTCACTCGGAAGGCAGAACAGGCTATAGGGTTACAGCCTGTGCTGGATGGGGTTACACTCCTCCTGAAGACACAGGTCCGCAGCCTGGGGGTGATTCTGGACTCATCGCCGAGTCTGTAACCCCAGGAATCGGTGGTGGCCAGGAGTGCTTTTACACAATAAAAACTTGTGTGCCAGCTGCGCCCGTACCTTGAGACACCAGATCTGGCCATGGTGGTCCACAACCTGTTACTTCCCGTCTGGACAACTGCAACACTCTCTACGTGGGGCTGCCTTTGAAGATAGTTCGGAAGCTCCAAACTGTCCAAAAATCAGCATCCAGGTTGCTAACTGGAGCACTGTAAAGGGAGAGGATAACCCCCATGTTACGGCAGCTCCATTGGCTGCCGCTCCGCTTCCGAGCTAAATACAAAGTGCTGGTCCTTAACCTCTATAAAGTCCTTAACAGTTCGGGTCCAGGATGCTTAACTAACCACATCTCTGCATATAAACCTACACAGACACTGCGGTCCTACCCCCGACTCAAGCACGGCTGGTGGGAACGAGGGGGGGGGGGCGGCTTCTCCGTGACCGCCCCTCCCTCTGGAATTAAGAAGTAGCTTCCTCACTCCTCTCCTTCAAGAAGCAATTAAAACACTTCTGTAGGAGAATGATTAGCTTTGATTAACTTCTTATGCTTCTATTCTGCCTAATGAGGCTGATGGAGAACATATTGTCCTCACTCATTGAACAGCCACGTTTTTATTGTTCGATTTTCATGTTGGTCTTATTAATTCACTATGCTATTTATGAAACTTACTACTTGTTTGAACTATGGCTGTGTTATTTGGAAATTTTTAATTGGTTGTTTTAATTGTTTTTTTACTGCAGTTTATCTCTATTTTGTTTTTGTCCTTCGGAGAGAGAGGGCGAGTTACAAATAAAGTTATAGAATCATAGAAGTTGGAAGAGACCTGGTGGGCCATCCAACCCCATTCTGCCAAGAAGCAGGAATCTCATTCAGAGCACCCCCGACAGATGGCCACCCAGCCTCTGTTTAAAAGCCTCCAAAGAAGCAGCCTCCACCATAATGCACCCCCTTCCTCCTTCTTATGGAAAAGCTGACCAATACTTGGGAAAGTGTTGGCACACTTGCTTTAATAACTTATTTATTTTGTATCAAAAGCATTGCATAAATTAGTATAAAACTGATAAAAATAAAAGGCGCACAGGCAGCTAAATATCTTTTGACCAAAAACGGGCAACAGCAACGGCATTGTCTGTAGCCTCCAACAATTCCTCCTCTGTACACGAGGCAGGGCACAGTGGACAAGCATACAGATGCGGAGTTGTCTGTCCTGCTCCACAGTCACACAAGGTTTGGGATTCTGTTCATAACTGAGCACACGCTTAACCATCATCCACTGTTGAAGGCGAGAGGTGGGGCCACATCCCACCTGTCATTTGATAATAACATCATTAAGATGGATCACGCTGTGGATGTGGCCACCATTCTTTTCCATTCAAAGTCTGAGAGAGAAAAGAGCAAAGGACAAGAAAGAAAACTGGGAGATAAGAAGCAGACCTATGCACACAGAAGATAAAGATGTCCTGAGAAGGAATCAAAATATCTTTTGAGTCTGAAAAGCACTGAAGAGCCAAACATTTCCCATTTCTCCACTCGGTGGGAGGAAATCTTTTGACTCCCAGTTTCATCTTACTCCCAATTCAAGTCAGTGATAAAGAGTTACGACTGCATTCAGACACTTATGGAGAGCAGCTACAACTAAACAGATCTCTCCCTCTCTAACTCACACCTTTCATACAAAGCAGAGGGGCCATGTCTTGTGCTCCTTCGGACTAGGATGCGGTCACACAGACCTACCTTGATTTAGGGCTTCCTCTTTAGAATAAAGCAAGTCCTTCTCTTTTTTCTTCTGTCAATTTTCAACACAGAGAGCTCCCTTCCAGCCACTTCCCATCCTCCGCGGATGTTGTGCCTGCCGTTCTAAGGCTCCCTATCACTTAATGCACCCTGCGCCTGCCCACAGACATGTCACGTCACAGATAATTCAGGATGATGTAACCTCTTTCTACAGAAAGGAAAAAAATGTTGACTCCAGAGAGCAAGCAAAGCAGAAAAACTGGACCGAGAAGATATATATATATATATATATATATATATATATATATATATGGGGAAATCGTGTAGGCACTGGAGAGGAATGAGAAATATTGCCCCTCATCTTGTTTTGATAACACAAGAACATATTAATCACATCTGTGAATGAACAAATTTGCCAATGCATAGAATTAACTGTGTATACATGTGTGTGTGTGTTTCTCTGCAATTTTGTGTAATCATTACAGCTTCTTATTACTTCCATTCACAGCCTTTCAGGGTTGTAATTTTGGAGTCTAGGGACCTCTGTCAGTATGAAATGTTTTTTTTTTTATTTGATTATACAAATGTCTCTTAATGCTTTGACATAAGCAAATTAATCATCTTTAACAATCTAACAACCAATGCTTTTGCGTAAAAAGCTCAGTAACAATATGACTAGAGATGGGAAAGGATGCAGGTAACAAGTAAGCAACGATCCCCGGGTGTATTCCCTGACACGGCTGGAGCTCTCCTCTCATCCATCAGTCAATACCAGGAGAGAAGGACAAATAGTGGCCAAAGGAATCATCCTATGCAAGGAGCATCTCTCTCTAACTGCAGAAAGAGGTGACAACCCCCTTGACCAATAGAAGGAGAACCAGGACGGAGAGACAGATTTTGCCAGCTCATTGCTTATACAATGATCTGCCATCACTTCAAATACATGCAGGACCAACCAGTTTTCTCTGCAGCTCTCCAGTTGTGTTGGGTCACCTAACTGGGTCGGGGAAACAAGGGACTGGGACTGCTGCCAAAAGGAAGGGTCAACCTCTTAGGGAAGTAATTGAAGACACTAAAGCAACAGCAACAACAACAACAACAACAACAACAACAACGATCCCTCGTAGTCCGAGGATGTTGGCCTTCCAAGTGTAGTGTATTGGTGGTGGATATGTAGATGGTTCTGGAGCCCTATTGTTGATCCACATGTTCTTCCGCAGTGAGAACATCGATTTCCAGGTGGAAGGCGGTCCCAGTCAGGGTTGGCTTGACGTGTCTTCCTCTTGTCATGTTTCTCCATTTGTGCCTCTTCAAATTCTTACAGCACTGCTGTTCACAACTGACCTTCAGCTAGAGTGCTCAAAGACCAGGGCTTCCCAGTACTTGGTGCCTATGCCACAGTTTTTAGGGTTGGCTTTAACCCCATCTTTTAATCTCTTTTTCTGTCCACCAACACTGCATTTTCCATTCATGAGTTGGGAATATAGTAACTGCTTTGGGAGATGGTGATCTTTGGGCATTCAGACAATGTGGCTGATAACCAGAACAACAACAACAACATTCTATTTATATTCTGCCATATTCTCCCCGAGAGGACTCAAAGCGGATTACAGAATATATATGAACACAAACACAGGCAAACATTCAATGCCTTCATATAATGAGACAGAAATCCGTCTTTGATGCTATTTACTATAGTCATGAAACTGCTTAGAAAAGTTTCCAAAGTTCCAAAGCCAAGTGTTGCCAGGATACTGAGGACACCCAATTATATTCCTCCTTTCCACCAGATTACAAAGAAGTGGTGTCCATGCTAAACTGGTGTCCAGCAGCAGCAAGGAAGTGTATGAAGGTGAAAATTGGAGTTTCACGTAGACAAGATAGAGGTGCTCCTGGTCAAATGGAAGGCTGATCAAGAAAAGAGACGGGGCACAAATGCAATGGGACTGCACTCCCACTGAAGATGCAGGTACATATCTTGCTTGTTATTGTTGTTTATTCGTTCAGTAGCTTCCAACTCTTTGTGACCTCCTGGACCAGCCCACGCCAGAGCTCCCTGTTGGCCATGGCCACCTCCAGCTCCTTCAAGGTCAAGCCAGTGACTTCAATAATACCACCCACCCACCTTGCCCCTCTGGTCGGTCCCTCTTCCTCTTTCTTTCCATTTTCCCCAGCATCATTCTTTTCTCCAAGCTTTCCTGTCTTCTCATTATGTGGCCAAAGGACTTCATCTTTGCCTCTAATCTCCTTCCCTCCAGTGAGCAGTCGAGCTTTATTTCCTGGAGTATGGACTTATTGGATCTTTTTGTGGTCCAAGGCACTCTCAGAACTTTCCTCCAACACCACAGTTCAAAAGCATCTATCTTCCTTCGCTCAGCCTTCCTTATGGTCTAGCTCTCGCATCCATAGGTTACTATGGGGAATACCATTGCTTTAAATATGTGGCCAGTGTAGTGTCTCTACTCTTCATTCTTTTATTGAGATTGGTCATAACTTGGGCGTATTCCTTAATTAAACTCTGAGCCTGAAGTTTTGTATTAGTGAATGCATTTGCACAAATGAAAGTTAGTGCACCAGCTGTACCCTGGGATGGTCACGCCTTTGTTTGGCTAATTATAATCTATTTCAGTGGTTCTCAACCTGTGGGTCCCCAGATGTTTTGGCCTTCAACTCCCAGAAATCCCAACAGCTGGTAAACTGGCTGGGATTTCTGGGAGTTGTAAGCCAAAACACCTGGGGACCCACAGGTTGAGAACCACTGATCTATTTGATCGAGGAGTTAGAATGGAATTGAAAATTTTAGCTGAACTTTATCACTTAAATCAACTAATTGTGGACCCAGGATGTTTTAGCTGTTATTTCTTGATATAATTAGTACCTATTTTAATGTAAGGTTTATGTTTTATATTTAATATGTTTTGTGATCTACGTTTCTTATTATGTTCTGTTCTATTTACAATTTGTCTTACTTTGAAATGCATTATGTGCTTATTATTATTTTGTATTGCTTTGCCTTCTCGTAAGCCACTACGAGTCCCCTAGGAGAGAGGCGGGATATAAATAAAGTTTATTTATTATTTTTTCCACCCCATTTGGATTACTGAAAAGTAGTCTACATGGGTCTTCTTTTGAAAAATGAACAGAAACTTGTAAAAAGCTGTAATAATATTAATAATGTTTAATACTGTTTTAATATTTAACCAGCCAGCACAGCGGGTTAAACTGTTACCTGCAGGAAATCAGCTGACCAGAAGGTTGGCAGTCTGAAGCCCTGAGTCGTGGTGAGCTCCCGACTATCAGCCCTAGCTTCTGCCAACCTAGCAGTTCGAAAGCATAAAATACAAGTAGATCAATAGGTACCGCATCAGCGGGGAGGTAAAAGGGAACCCCATGCAGATATGTAGACATGCCGGCAACATAATCAGAGATACCTACAGACAGCAGGCTCCTTCGGCATGGAAAAATAGAACAAGAGAATCTCCCCATGGCTGGAGTTGAGCATCATCTCCAGACGCTGAAGATGGAAAAAGGAGAACACACATTTGTCTGTGATGTATGTCTGTGTGTAAAAGGCATTGAATGTTTGCCTCATATGTGTATTGTAATCTGCTCTGAGTCCTTCCGGGGAGATAAAGTGGAATATAAATAAAGTGTGTTGTAGTAGTAGTATATTTTATGTTACATTGTAATGCTTTTAATTGTGAGCCACTTTGAGTCTCCATATGGAGAGAATAACATAATAAACATAATAATAATCTTATAAACTGTTACCAATTATTTTACCCCCAACATTTGTCCCCAGATTGCTCAGATGTAAAACCAGTTGAGACACTCCAATATCCCTTTTTTGAACAATGCAGAAAATGTAATGTTGAAGCCTTTCATGGCTGGAATCACTGGGTTGTTGTAGGTTTTTTCGGGCTATATGGCCATGGTCTAGAGGCATTCTCTCCTGACGTTTCACCTGCATCTACAAACCCACCAAGAAAATCTAACAAATGCTACATTCAGCAAAGGACAAGAGGGATCCTCTCACTTCTGCAGGAGTCTACCATGTACCGTGCAGCTGTGGACAAGTCTACATAGGGATCACCAAACGCAGCATTGCCCAAACACGAATCAAGGAACATGAAAGGCACTGCAGACTACTTCAACCAGAGAAGTCAGTCATAGCAGAGCACCTGATGAACCAACCTGGACACAGCATTTTATTTGAGAACACAGAAATGCTGGACCACTCTCACAACCACCATGTCAGACTACACAGAGAAGCCATTGAAATACACAAGCATGTGGACAATTTCAACAGAAAGGAGGAAACCATGAAAATGAACAAAATCTGGCTACCAGTATTAAAGGACTCAAAAATCACAACAGCACAACAGAGAGGAAACCAACAAGGACATCTAATCACCTCTCAACAAAAGTTTGCTCCAGGCACTGTCAGGCCATTATATGCTAATCAAGATGGTCAGTTGAAGCATTGACACCTAGCTCCAGCAGACAAGAGTCCTTTGTCCCACCCTGGTCAGTCCACAGATAAACCCTTTTTCCTAGTTCCAACAGACCTCACTACCTCTGAGGATGCTTGCCATAGATGCAGGCGAAATGTCAGGAGAGAATGCCTCTAGACCATGGCCATATAGCCTGAAAAAACCTACAACAACCCAATGTAGAAAATGTCTGGCAAAGAGCCTTGAGGTGGTAGTTAGGTTTATGAAAATATGGGCAGAGCAATAATCAAGCCTTATTAAAACTAATTAATCTCCACAACATCCTCTGGCTACAATATCTCCATCACATTATTGTTCCAGTTAGTCCAATTCCACAGGATTTGCTCCCATCATCGAATGGAAAGTCTAACCCAGTGCGCTTTCACATGGGAAGACTAGCTCCGTCCTCCTTCCACAAAAGCCAGAGCCATATTGGGTTGCCAGGTTAGCAAACAAGAGCCAATGTGCTGACTCGGTAAGGTGACGATGCCGGAGAGTGTGCGACTCATGCTTAGTCAGGAATTGACAAAAACATACTTGATAAGCAAGTCAGAGGAGGTTAAACAAATTACAAGCTGTGCTACAAAACAAGGTTATCCCAGTGTCACAAACTCTAGAAGGCCAGCCTATAGAAGCCGAGCAAATCAATCGTGCC